GACGTCATCCTGCCCACACTCAGCCCTTTGGCACTGGTGAGACCTAGTCGCTGCTGCCGCAATCCGGAACTGTGCCGTAACTTTCGCAACAAGCCAACCTGATATTGAAAGTGGATCATTCTGTGTGGAGCCATGTGGACCGGACCACAATCTCACTTTGGCCACCAGGTACCGCCCCCTTCGAATTCGCTCGAACAAGGATTACTGTGGGAAAAGCTGACGGTCGGCACGAATGCAGCACCGCGCACTTTGCTCGTTTTTGTCCATAACATCTTACCAACACATAACGAAGGCTGGCTTGACGACGGCCACGCGGATGGTGGGAGCGCCACACAGGTTGGCTACCCACAAAAGATCGAAGTCGCTCGCAACGAAATGTACGTTTGACATAGCTTTCCAAGTTAAATCTGGCTGACAGAGGGTTTTTAATAGAGCTGATGTATTGTTTCCCTTTTCGATCTATGGGACACACGTCTAGGCTACCAGCAAGTTGTGTGACACTTGCACATCGCAAACAATGCCCTGTGCCCCCGAAAGCTATGAGCACCAACTGCAAGGCCGCTTCCAGCAATTCTTTGTCGCACGTGGCAGGCCTACACCAAGGTTTCGAGGACCCTGGAAGCTCCGCCGAAGGAGGGCGACCAACCGACCAGCGCCGCCCGCCCCACAGTGCCCCACGAGCCTCGCTGCATGGCCAGCATCAACGGATACAGCCCAAGGGACCAGCTCGCAGTCAATGCATCTGGATGCGCCAAGGACCAGACAGTGCCGCTTCCTGGCTCAACGCTTGGACAATGCTGTAATTCGCGCTCAGCGGCACACTGCCCATTCAGAAATGGATTGTCCAGGTTGAGCCTAACCATGTCCAGATTCGCATTCGCCGTTGACTCACCGAGCGCCAATGTGGGTGCATGTTTAAGCAAGGCCACCGTACAATGGTGCAGGCAGTGCCAGGGTCTGTTTTCCTGCTGCCCCTCTTTTATGCTTCAGCAGCACAGCCTACGGCAATGGGCAATTCGCACATATTGACAATGGACCCTCGAGTCCGAACAGCTGTGAATCGGCCGGCGGACCATCCCTGGAATTCTGAGTTCGGCCGATCCCCAAACCTGAAAAGAGCGCAAATGGGGAAGCCGCTCGAACGCTTGACAACAGATGCACTGCAAGCAACGGACAACTGCGTATCAGATGAAGCAAGGCTGTCATCCCTGGCCGCAAGCGTCAACAAATGTTCCCATTTCATCACCAGTATTTCCGTCGTTTCCCGAGGCGCCAACCTGCCAATGTTTCTGGGGAATTCAAAAGCAACTGGTCTGTTTCAAGTTTTCGGCTCTTGTTCTTCCATGATCTTTCCTCCAGGGAAGGGTCCGCAATGGATGCACCTGCCCTGCGCTTATGCAAAACGTTCCTGTGCGTCCTCGGCCAGAGCTGTGCTATTTTCGTGATGTGCCTTTGCCCCTCCTGACCTTGTGGCATACCGGGCCATCACAGCTGGCGAGGTCGTGTATCCAAATAGCCGATTGCGCGCCAAACGTGCACAGGTGGCTCGCAAGATGGTCGGGCATCACGAGGCAACTTTGACAGCTGTGCAGCTGTCGTTGGAGTTTTTGTATCCCGTTCACATGTGAATGGCGACACCTTGAAACATGATGATGATGATGATGATGATGATGATGATGATGATGATGATGATGGTGGTGGTGGTGGGATGGCGACGCTGTGCCGAAACCGTCAGGTGTGCTCATCCGTCGCTATTGCCCCTCTCCGCCACCGCCCCGAGAGCCCGTGGCTCCAACAGGAGGCCCAGGCAAACCTGCCCCTCCCCATTTGCCCGCGGAACCGACCTCTGTGCAGAAGGCGCGGGAGGCGCTGCACAGTGAGCGCCCACCGGCCCCACGGCGCCAACCGCCCAGGACAAAGGCGCGCAGCGCAGTTCACTGGCCAGCTGATGCCGCATGATGCAATCGTTCATGAGATCTCTCAGCTGCTGGACGTTGGACTGGACAGGTATGGGACGTACGGAAATCGGCAGCACAGTGGTGCGTAGGGTGCGCTTGCCGCACTCGTGTTCACTACGCCCAAGCCCCGTGGGCCTTAAAAAGGTGCAAGGCTGTGCGGGACTGCCTGGAAAGGCCTGCGCTTCTTTGCGCGGTTCTGGGCTCTGCCAAGATGTGTGCCTTCCAGTTACTCACTGCCCTGGATTGTACAGTCGGCGAAGCGTTGGGCGGGTTGTTGAGCAAAAGGCCCCCGTTTGTGGGTCGCCGGCACGAGGTGTTTGGTACTGGGGCATTGCAGTTTTCGCCTCGGAAATCTGTTGATCACACGCTGGACGCCGTCACAGTCCATGAATGCGGCACATCCGCATATGGTGTTTGGGACGCGGAGGCGCTGGGACGTCAGCGTGGGGCCATAGCCGGAGATGACGGACCTTCCCTCGCGGGGTGATGGCAGCTCAAAGACTCCGAATCAGGCAGCTCCACCTGGGCAGCTTCGGGTTCGCGCTGCCATGCCGAAGCGTTAAGTGTCATACGGTATTTGTCGATCGCACAATCGTATTCCCAGTCTCCGTACGCCCTGGTCTCTGGATGCCCCAGTCCTCATGTCGTCAGGCAATCTGAAGAGTACACATAATGTGTTGTGCACATCGCCCTCTTATGCCCATGACGTCTTGCCCTTCCCCCCACTCTGGATGGCCCTTCACCGATCCTTGTGCTTCCATCATTGGGCTTTCGGTCATTGCAAATGATGCGTGACATTGCTCCCCTTCCCGGTGTGTCTACAGAAGCCTCAAAATAACTGCAGGTATCTTGCTGGAATTTCTGGAAAATTGACCTTAACCAGAATACATGCCAGACCGTGTGTTGGATCATGTGCTCTTAGGTCGCAGGTGGGTGGAGGAGCACTAGGAAAAAAACAGGCCAGGTGACACAGTCCAGACACGGTCTGCTCAAAATCCAGTTGTGTACTTTTGGCAAATGTGGTCCCAAAAGTATACAGTTAGTACACACATTGGCACAGTTTCAACTGTGTACCCTCAATCAACTGTGTAGACTACACGGTTTCATAGGATGCATGGTTAAAACTGTGTCAATGTGTGTACTAACTGTGTACTTTTGGGACCACATTTGCCAAAAGTACACAGTTGGATTTTGAGCAGACCGTGTCAGGACAATGTCATCTGGCCTGTTTTTTACTAGCGGAGTGGAGAATCTTGGCAGCGAGGTGAACAGCTGTGCGCCGTTCTGGGAATACTATTGCTTCGCCCGTTGTGGTTCCTCTTTGCGCTCGTGCCTCACGTTGGGTTTGTGGGTGTCCAGGCCATGTAACGCCAACGTCACAAGCGTCTCTCCCTTAAGCTTCCTGATTGCGGAATAAGGTGTCATGATTGATGTCTAGTAACTGAGGTAATACCTAATACCAAACTTCGCACCTTCGTACATGGCAATATTGCGGGGCACCCTGCGAAGGGACGCGCACGTGCCAGGGGCGCGGTGGATGGCGACTTATCTTTCACTTTGAACTTGTCGGTGACGCGTCAGCCGTATCACCTGTCACCCACCATGGGGCCAATCCAACAAGACGATGAATCCCCTTACGGAACGCCGGCATCACCGCTTGCTACCAATCGCTGCCGCCGCGCCAATGTAGCATCGCGGCGTTGGATGCCCTCCCGGATTTGATGGCAGCGCCTCTTGTCACGCATCACTGCGCTGGGCGTCCCGGCTGTGCCGGCTGACGACTGCGCTGCGACCTGGTCGGCTGCACCAAATTGCTGGACGTCATTTGTCTTCATTGTTGGGCTCTGTTCTTAGTCCTTTACTTCGGCGCGTACCAAAATTAGCAACCGCACCATCCTGTCCGCCATGTGCGACGCTCCGCAGTCTCACAACCCCTCTCGGTGGCCCGCCTCCACCGACCCCAAGCCCAACTACTGGCCTTCTCGCCCCACTGTCGCTGCCTGATGTACGGCCGCCCGGCCTACTCATGGCGCGTCTCTCTCCGATTCAACCCCCCAAGAGGCCCAAGAACCAGAACACATCAGCACATTCCGATCCCCAGTCGGGCTCCGCTGGTCCCCGTGCACACAATGCACGGGCGCCCTCCTTGTACCAGCCCTGGCACCTCGACGCCGGACCCGCCCCCGCCTGGTACATCTTGTCAGACACGCCCACACCACTGCTGGAACAACAGCGCCCGGCCTGGGCGCAAGTAACCGGCGCGGGCGGGGGCGGGGCGCCCTGAGAATGGTCCTGTCGCCCGTCAGGGGCCGCCCACCCTTAGGCGCCGTCCCGCCCTGACGCCAGGGCCGCCGGAAGGCGTCCCGCCGTTCCTTCCCGGCTCATCACCGCCGGCCGCAACCGTTGCCCAAGCCCTTTTCCCCCTTCGCAGCGCCCGCTCGTTCCCAAGGTAACAATCAGACCCAGAACTTGACGACTTGCCCTGATGCCCTTATCGCGCGATTACTGTCGCGTCGACTGAGACGTCTCCTGCGTGCCCGGCCCGGCCCCCCGGGCTAGTCGCCGTTGCGCCCCGGTGGCGTCGATGTACTGTGCCCCGCGGCAGGCGCCCGCCGTCCTCGACCCTCCGACGTTCCCCGCCCCGTCGGCCGCTTACGTCGGCAGCGCGCCGCGGCGTCATCAATCGATGTCGGCCTGGGGACCCCCGTGGACGCACGCGTCTCAAGGCACTCAAGGGCGGACCGTGGGAAGGCAGCGCGATCGGCGCGGTGGGCGCCCCTCGGCCACGTACCGCCCCACCCCCTCGGGGGACCCTCCCGTCGCGGACAATGTCGCCTGTTGCTCGCAGTCAAGCCTTGTACGATCATTGCGAAGAACATCGCCATGGCCGGTGCCGACCGTTGGAGCCTCGAGCGCGCAATGCGCCCAACGCTTCCACGAATCACATCCGACGCATCGATTCTCGGCCGCGGCGCGGGTGTCGAGCCGCGAGCCGTGGTTTGTGACGCGGGCGTTTGTGGCCGCGGGCAGGCGGCGGGTGCGATGGCGGGCAACTCCGCGAGCCTGTCGAGCATCACCGGGGGCGGGCTCACGTCCGGGTCGCAGGGCGGCGACAGCGGGGATGAGCCGTGGGGCGACAGGGAGTGGGTGCGGGAGGCGGTAGATAGGCTGGGGGCCGTCACGCCCACCAACCTGGACGCGCTGGACGACGTCAAGCGCCAGCTGCGGGGCTCCACCAGGCTCCACTTCGACTTCACGCAGTGCGGGGGCATCAAGGTGGGACGCGGCGGGGCCGGGTGCGGGGGTGGGTTTTGTGTGAGGGGAGAGATTGATGTTTGCGGCGCTTGGGGTTGGCTTCCGCGGGGGGCTTGGAAGGATCGGGAGGTCGGCGGAAAGTGAAGTCGTCGTAGAAGGCGGGGCCCCGTCAGGGCCGGCCGAGCTGCCCTGAGCACGTTGGGGACACATGCGAAGGAGATATGCGGACGCGCAGGTTTTTCTGTCCATCTTGCTCCTTCTTGCCTCGCTTTCAGGGGTTGGATGGATGGCGCCGAAAGGGGGGCCCCACACAGAACCCTTAAGGCCCTAGTCCGCGATGCCACAACCCTGCTTCTGGATTGCGGCGAGCGAGCACGAGCACAGCCTCGGTGCTTGTGTGCAGAATGGTGTTTGAAGCGGTGAAGTGCGTTGTGGTTTGATGGACTTCTTGCACTCACAGCGCTGAAAATTGGGGCCGCCAAGGGCCGCGCTTCAACTGGTCTTTGTGGTTCTGGCTAACACATTGACACCTGCATCTTGTACAGGCTCTTCAAGGGCTATTGGCCAAGGGGAACAGCATCATACAAATGAAGTGCATGGTGTCTCTGGAGGTGAGCGTTCTGTTACCGAGCCCAGATTTTAGGGGCCACTTATGTGGGCATTGATCAGTGGCATCAGGTAAACATGCCAATGATGCACTTGATTCACGAAGCTTTCTGTTTGTAGGCGCTTGCTGCGAACGAAGACGTGAGGTCAAGTTTCAGGGAAACGGGAGTTGTCGAATTTATACTGCGCCTCATTCAATCGAGTGCCAGAAAACCCCATTCCAAACGGAGACATTCTGGTGGGGAAATAATCAGACTACTAGCAGGTGCGGCATTTTGTGAGCTTTTAATACTGTTGCCTGTGCTGCTGCCAGCCCAATTTCGTCACTATCTGGGCAATGTACTCTTTGTTTGTCTAGTGCTCAGAATCTGCAACGTGCTGCATCGCTGATCCACAGGTGACAACATCCTTGCTCTCTTGTGCAAAATGAAATTTTTTTCAGACCAGCAAAATTGCACCACTGATTGTTTGCTGGAAGAGACAGCATGCCGTTCCAAAATTTTGCTAATAAAGAAAGTGCCCTCCTTGGTCATGTGCCTCCACTGTCGTGTTGACCGATATCGCCTCCAGGTGCCAAGGGCACAGTGAGTTGTTTCCTTGACACATGCAGTAAAGACAGATTCGTGCCCCTCAGGTTGCCAGCCACGCTGCGGCACTCCACTGAACAGCCGGTGCACTAGTGACATGCGGCGTGTGGGTGGACCCTCTGTCCCGGAGGCCATGTTCCAGGTGGAGTGTTTGAGGGAGCGACCCCTGCCGTTGTGGTACCACACCTCCAACTCCATACTCCCCTGGGGCACGGAGGCTGTGGCATGTCTTGTGGACATCCTCATGGCCAATGTGGGCGACCGAATTCAGGAAGCTGCTGAGCACATCATAAAAAAAATTTTGCATGTTAGCCAATTCACAGCCCACATCATAATCGAGAAGAGGGACATTGCTGCACTGGTGGAATTGGTAACCGTGGTGAATCCCACTGCGGTGCTGGGCATGAAGGTGCTCACCTTCTTGTGCATTATGCACCCCTCCAACGAGGTGACCTTTGTGCGCACGGGGGGCCTGACAGCCATGGTCCAGGCCATGCGGGCAGATGCACTGAGTGGCACAGTTTGCGGGGAGATGGCCGCATGGTCCACAGCATATTTTGGCTCCAAGTCAGTTGAGAATGCCGAACGGCTCCTGGAAATGGGGGTGGCAGACGTGCTGGTGGAGATGCTGCAGTCCACGGACTACTGCTCCCGAGAAGCTGCCGCAAGGGCAATGCTTTGCACTCTACAGTCCATGGCGCAGGCCGGAAGCGATGGAAGGATCATGTTCTGTGAAGCCAATGCCATTCCAGCTATACTAGGGGTCGTTCAGGATGGAGGGTACCACTCTCGGCAACAAGAAGTGCTCTTGGACCTCATCAGGTCTGCTACAATTCCTTGCTTTCTAGGTTTTGCTTTGTGCAGGCAGGCATGCGGCTGCTGCAGCGGTTGCTTTTTTTGCACTTGCTGCAAGTTAATTTGGGAGCAGGCATGCATACAACATGCTTGTGCAGTTGCCTGCCCGTTGCAATCCACAGTTGTGACTCAAGTAAATACAGGTGCTGGCAGGTGCAGATGGTTTGTAGACACTTGATATACCAAACCTGTCTCCAGTTGACAATGTGTGAACCATGGTGGCGACCACCCACACATGTTCTTCTGCAATCGCTGTGACGAAAACTGTGCTTTGCGTTGCGTGCTGCCTTGCCAGCAATATTTTCAAATGCATGTGCAAGGCCCACTAGATAGCAACCAGGTGGACTGTGCGTGCTTTTTGAGTGTTTAATGATTGGCCGGAAAACAGGCGACGCATTCCAGCTCCCTCTCCCCAAGAGAGTACCCTTATTCTTTCCTATTTTTCAGAGCTCGACTGTTGCCAAGATTTTTCTTTGGGTTGCTGTTTCTGATCAAGACATGTGGCGGTGCAGCATCGAATAGCACTCTCTCTTGTCCTGTGGCAGTCAATCTCCAAAGCGCCCATATTCTAGAGTTAGATATTTTAAATTGGGGCGACTCTCCTCATCCGAAAACCGATATGTTCGGTATGTTCAGAAGTACCTCCAAAATATTTGTAGAGTATACTATTGTGCATGCATTATAGCAATATTTATATTAGTAGCATTAGGAGTATACTGCACAAGCATTTGAAACAGGAAGGCTACCAACAGGCATTCGAGTGCTTGCTGGCAAGCATGTGTTGGGTCGCTTTGCAACACTGCAGGTGTCACCAACAGCAACAGGAAAAAAGTTGGGGACAGCAAAGCGAAATATCAAGGCTGGAAGCATGGATTAAGCCAGATAACTGGGAGTAAATATTGTGTGCGAGTGTGTCCCTCAGGATAGCATCCGAGTTTGCGAGGGTGGAGGAGTACAGGAAGGAGATGCTCCGTGCTGGTGCGCCAGAAACCATGAACGAGGGCCTCACAGGCTGCAGTGCGGCTGTCCTGGATGCTTCAAAGAAGCTGCAGAAGCTGCTTATGCCCAACAGAGTGCTCAGACCCAGACAGTGGCCTTCACAGCCGATGTTCCAGCCACCAGAGAGTTGGATGGGAGATGGTGAGATTTGGGCAATCCTTTGATGACTTGCTCCATCGATTAGCTGAGGAATTGTCCATTTCCTTTGGTGCAAATAAGCCAACATGAATGCACCCAAGCTATTTGTTCCATTTGATAGGAGATGGTGAAACCACTGTGCTCATGGCGGTCACATTTTGCATGGGCTTGCAGTGTTCACAACTGACATAAGATTGGCTGTTGCAAACAATTGCAGATTGTGCTCCTATTTGCTGAATCGTGTATTTCTATCATTGTTTTGAAATGGATCTGCAATGTCACGGGGTTACGTTTCTACAAATGAGTCTGGCAGTCTGGGTGAAAAGGACCATCATCTGCACTTTGCATATCTGAGCCACCACCCTACCCTGACGTGTGGGCTCAAAACCTGGAGAATATGTGCTTCACAGTATTCAAAGCATTACACCATTAGTTTGGTTTTAGAGTTTGGGCACTGCAAATAATCACACTTGTGGGTCTTGAAGTGCCCAAGACAGACGATGCCTACTAGATTGCCATATTGATCTGTCACAAGCGACATTGTGTTTTGGTGGAAACAACTTGGCTGGCTGCCCTGCCCCCCGTTTGTTCTTGCTGCGACTTTTCAGCTGACTTGTGACGCATTGCGATGGCTATCAGCACCTGCAGTGATTGATCGACGCCTGCCACGCAGTCTGGATGGCGTGCTGTGAGGGCCACGCCTGCTGTTTGAATAGAGAATTGTCTGCAATGAGAATCCGCTCCGTGCGGAGTGCAAGAGTGCGCTGGTTTTCTTTGAATGAACCATTGATCCATTGTCATGTTACATATGCTCAGGCTGTGGCGGAAGATTGCTGCAAAGTGTATCATTGTGCTTTCGGAGGAGCGAATCTTATCGCATCCATGACGCAGATGCTGTTGCAGCAAACGCCCTAGCTGGAGCTCCCCTGGATTTATGCCATTGGTCGAGCCAGCCGGTTGAAGAAGTACCCCAAATAAGGTGATTTTTTACAGCTTGCTGTGCAGAAAAAGGTGGATGGCGCCAAGGCAGTCAAATACTCCCGCAGCATTGATCGGCGAAGGACCCCATGTTTGCGGAAGAGAGATAGTCACTGTGGGATCAAGATTTGAGGCTGGCTTCTCGAATCAGTCATGTTCAGCTGCTGACGCCTGTGTGGCCTGTCCCGTGTTCACAGAACCAGAAACCGAATGGAATGGGTGGAGTACGCCTGGGAAGACAGTCCCCGCGGGCGGGAAAACCTGGACACCATCGACGAGCACCAAGTCTCCAACAGCGGGCTGACGGATGTCATGAGGACGGCCCTGTACAGCGAGACGTCTCCGCCCACCCGCCGTGGGATAGGACGCCACTCGCTGGAGCCGCGGGTCCATCAGGAGGGGTTCAAGGGGCCCAGCTCCGCCAGCTTGACGGGAAGGTCCACCTCAGGCAGTCAATCCGACCTGTTCGCAAGCGACGACTTTGTCTGATGGCTGCCGTGCGTCTTCAGGGTGTTGGTACACAGGAGCGAACAGGTTGCCTGGGCTGCTGGCCGTGGGCGCATGGCGCGCGCGACGCAGGGTCGTGGGCCCACGGGCCTCGCTGCGCTTGCGCGGGCAACGTTTTGTTTTTTTCATTTGTTCAGCATTGGCAATCGGGAAGGGCAAGTGAACGAGCGGTTCAGATTTGTACAACATTAGCACGGGGGTGGGCTGATTGGGACGGATGACCCCCCCCTCCGGAGATGGAATGATAAAAGTCTCAAAAGTTTCAGACTGTTGCCCAGTTCCTGGGCGAACTGCAATCTAACAGAGTTGGGGATTGTTTAGATAGGTGACCGAATGGAGGTGAACTGGCTCGTGAAAGATGCAGAGACATGAACCAACATTGAATTCTGTGCTGGGGCGGTGGGTTAGCTTTCAGCTGCGCCTCTTGAGAGCGCGGGCCATCCCTACTTGAGCGAACATAAACAGCATTTTGTGCCGCTAATATGCTCGAGGGAGGTCGTGCAACTCGGAGTTGACGTCAAGGCGGGGTTTGGTGTGAGGCAATCCTGGCACCGGATAAATGTTCCCCGAGGCTTGTATGGGTAAAGTAGATGCCCAGTGGTCCCTGCGGCTGTCTGTAGACAAGTCTTCGTTCATAAATATCGACAGCACCTAATCAAGACGCGGGCATGTGTGTATTATGGATTGTGGCTTCGGGGATGATGCAATTCCCCATCCCCATCTGGAGGATGGCGAATAGAGGGGAAGAGGAGAAGATGCGGAAATCATTCGAAGCAGGGTCTCCCCCACCTCAAGGTGGTTGGAGGTGCATTCCGCTCACGCTGAGCTGCCAGGGCCTTGTCCTGTGGTTTGGGCTGAGCGATTTGGACTTGCAGGGTTTCCGCACTGGGTCTGAAGATATGGGGCTGTGGGGAATGCAGAGGGTGGATTGCAATGTGTGCACTGTTCAAGTGTTGCGGCGTACCCAGGTTGTTTGTGAGTGTGCGTGCGTGTGTGGGTGTGTGTCCCCAATTCTGCACGAAGCAAGAGGACCCCGGACAATTTGTTTTGACATGGCGATTTTTGTGTGTCGGTTTGTACACAGTCTGTAAAGTGCTTGCGTCCTTGGGTCGCGTCCGGTATCCAAACCGCATCGATTCAATCCTTCAATTTTCCGGTCACCTCCACCGACTGTCTCACATGGTATCGCTCCGCGCCACGGCTCTGTGCTGCAGGAAGGAATCATCCGAAACCGAACTCCAGATTCACCCTGTAAGCTGCTTATGTATGGCTGTCAATTCGCAGCCGGGGCGACCAAATCTTGATGATCGTTCATTAACCTCGTCCACGGATGAGCACTGAAGCAGAATGCAAGTAATGGCATGAAGGACTTCCAGGGGCTTGCGTTGAATAGGCATCACCGTGCCCATCTGGCAAATAAATAAATGGTGACCTAATTCAGCGCTGAAGTAGAAAACAGATTGGAAGAGACGAAAGTTGTCTTGCAATCGTCTCTGACTCACGTTCACCGGCGTAGCTCATGCTTTTTCATCATTCCCCCTGAGCTCACTGACCGACCTCTGACAGTATCTGAGCTAACACAGCCCCAAACGCCTTAACCCCAAATGCTGCCAATATGCAATGTGCACAACAGCAGGAAATGCGCCACAAGCATCGAGCATGCACCGTTCCTGCACCGCGCTCCCGGTGGCGCAGCGACACGGCCGTGCGGCCGCACCCCAGGCGCAAGGCGGGGCCTTGTCCAACTGGAGGCCTTCAACTGTCAGGTAGAATGTCAAACATGCTCTCTTCGGTCATGTAAGCCGACCCCTGGCGGGACAGATCGCTTCCTTCATGGGGAACGTTGTAGGATGGATTACACCGCGATTGGACAAGCTTGGCTAGCCCATCACAGCTGTTCATCGACTGTGTAGCCTGCGTCACAACAACCAACAGAAAACGCGGAGCCGATGAGCTGGAGTAGAGAACTCAGCGGTCGGGCGCGATGGAATGGACACCCTTCGCGTTGGCTGCGCGGGTCACGTGGCCCCTCTATTCTTTCGCGCACACGTGCACGCTGATCACATAACAGATTTAGACCATGCAGCCTCTTGTGGAAGGAAAATCATTGGCGCGCTGGCGCAAGAAAGCATCATAAGGGCTTTATCATTTATTGATCTGTTACAGTGGGGCTTGCGAGAATAGTGAGGGTGATGAGCCCAGGGCGATCAGCACATCGACGTGCGTGTCAGATACAGATGACGTCGATGATTCTTCCGAAGCGCGACACGCGCGGGCCATCTGATGTGTGATGATGTTCTAGTGCCATGCAGTCATTGTGCGTCCATATCTTAAAGAGGTACACATGTATGGGTGGCAACCGCATCATGAGTCCAGGTCAAATGGACCAGCTGCCCCTTGGACTGTACGTATGCTATGATGGGGCAGGAATAGAAATGAGTGAGCGAAATTTGTTTTGTGAAAAGCACTGAGGTCACGAGGGCCTGAGGTGCCCTTCGCTGAGGGGAGCCTAAACAAATTTCAAATGTTCACTGACCTCCAGACTGCGCTGCTTCCTTCGCCCCACCACAGCCAGCACGACCACAATGGCGATGGCGATGAACATCAAACCTTCATTCTCAGAGGCACTACTTTGTCAAGAGTTTTTTCATTCAGTAACAGCTGCGTTGCAGCACACTGCTCTTGCGCTCAATGCAGCTGACATATATAATAGTCAGATCAGATTTTCCAGGCGCTCGCTTCTTCAAGCAAATACCTCACGAGAAGCGAAGAATGTGCTGCCGCGAAGCCAGTGGTGCAAGGACGCGTGACGCGTGCACAACGCAAAAAAAATCTTCAATAATCTAATCAAAGACGGTGATTCGTGCAGCGAGCGTTTCATGCAAGAAATGTTTAGTACAAGCTCTTGGGACGCATAGAACTCACAGATTATCCCCAAGTATCAGCTCCCGCTGAAAAATTTGGACATTGGTACCGGACAGGCAGCTCACGATAAATTCAAGTAATCAATGCATATGTTAAAGTAGAGCAAAAATTTAAAAGAAAATTCAGCACAGCATCCATTGCTGATGATTCGTGCGCTCATACCTGCCACAGACAGCACAGCCGTACTCCAGAGTGGTGGCATCCACGCCTCACCAGCAATGCTGGAACTTGGCGTTGATGAATTTCCTATTACGCATAACAGAGACAGATTTATTTCTATTCAAAAAAGTTTGGCAAACGAGGCTAGTATGCTGTTGCGTTGCACATGCCCTGATCCGTCCTGGGAGAGTGTACTTGGGTTAAATGTGTCACGGATAATGGATGAAATATTTTTTGGGCTCTCCACAATATGAAACTTTTTTGGGTGGAACAGACATTTGCTGCGGACCTACAGCCACGTCTAATGTACAGTCAGGAATTTTCTGGCAACTAATGGCATATTTTGCTCAAATTGACGAGAGTTTGAAGTGCACGATGTTGACGAGTTTGAAGTCCACTCATCGATAAGGAACATCCTTGAAGCATGGTAATATATTTTCGTGCAGCACATGAGGCAAAGGAGACCAACCAGGAGGAAAATGATTCGATCAGAAATTTAAGAACGTTGTGGTAATATGTTCTCCAATTTGCTGCAGAAATCTTCTACCTTTTGTTTCAGCTTTGTCGACGATTTGACCACGCATGGAAAGAGCCTTCCACCAGTCTCGTCCTCTACCAGTTGGCGATGCCACTTCCCTGGAATCAACCAGTGCCCTGGGGGCGACCACAGGCTGTGGAGATGTTTCCAAGCTCTCCTTGGGAAGAGGCGAGCAGCCGCCAGCAATTGAACATTCACCCGTGCCGTCATCCGCTGATCTCGTCGTCAGTCCAATGGATCGGGCTGCAGGTGTCGACAGTTCCGCGGCAATGTTACCTTCACTTGGCCCTGTCATTTCAGCGTGCATTCCCCAGTCCTTAGACGGCAGCACCGTCTGACTTCTTGCTTCAGATCTGTGGGCATCTTCCAAGTCCCTGCGAACGAGCAACTCCCATGGAGCAGTGGAAGACGGTTTCAGTCCCATAGAATCCGACTCAGCGGCACGAGGCCAGGAGAGAATCGCTGGCTGGCCGTATCCTGGTGGTCCCACGTCCCGACATGAAGCAACAATCTGCCTACCCTGCTGATATCCGAGTTCATACCCTTGCCACACGCCCTTCGAGTATTCCGCTTCAATATCGTTGTCGCGTGATCCAGGAAACCCCGTCGGAGACTGCGGCCCTGGAAACTGCTTGACGCTGCCGGCATTTGCCTCCACGCCATCAGTTATTCCGCTGTGGATTCCCTTTCCAAAGCCCAGTAAGTACCCCACCTGAAAGCGATCGTTCTTCGAATGCGGGAGATCAGGCGCTTCATCTGTATCACTGCTTGGCAGGTCAGTTGCAGAGTTAGAATGCGCAATCAACAGATGGTCATTGCTTCCGTTTGGCCCAGACACAGGCTCGCCGCTGCGATCTTTGCCCTGAGCGGTATCGCTGTCGCCTGTCCCAATACGCCATCCGGCATTTTGCATCCCTGTTCCGGACTGTTTCAAAGGTTCAACGCCTGGCTGAGAGCTTTTAGTGAAGCCTGTACCCTTGAGCTATCTGGATGTGGCGTGCTCCCCGCGGACAAGCCACACAAGCGACATAGGATCGTCCACTCGTCCTCCCTTTGCTTTTCCTTCCAACAGGCCCTTGATGTTCGACTTCTTCAGGCCGTGGAGCACCTGGCCCAATTTTTCGAATCCCATAGAGACATCTTGCCCCAATGAATGGTCCCGATTCCTCATTTTGACCGCTGCCTTCATTCTGGATACCTGACCGCGTTGAGCAGAGGCACCGCCAAACATCGGCGTCGATTCGGTGCTGGTTTCGAGGAGCTGCCGCGAAGCGGCCTCCTCGCTCCCCGGCGGACTCGCGTGATCTGCTGCACGCCTCCGATCAGCGTTCAGCCCGGCGCTGCGATCCAGAACCCCAGGCAATGGCGACGATTGTTCGACGCTCGTTGGGTTGGACAACCGTCGCGTCTCGTGGCCGTTCCAGCGCAGTCTCCCGGAAGGGGAGCCCCTCCTGAACCCACCGACGCCGCCTTCCATCCATGCTGCGACGGTGCGTTCCAGGGCGTTCCCAACAGCTGCGCCTGCCACCGTGCGCAGCGCTGTCTTCAGCTCAGGGCCGATACTTTCCACTTCACCGCCGAGGATCCCGGCTGGGCCGCGGACGGCCACATGCGCTTCGCCATCCTGCGAGGCGCACACCGGCAATGTGGAGAGAAAGCTCTGGGAAATTTGAGTGTGACCGGCCCATCTCCAATTGCCCTCCCTCCCCGAGCGTCTCTTTTTGCTGATTGTGCTGCGGACTGGTCGATTCTGGGTGATGCGGAAACAGGTGCGCCGACGCCGTCGCGCACCTTCTGCCGCCGCAGGATCCTCGCGCCCGACGCGCTTTTTCTTCGATTGACAAGCTGCAGTCTTTGCACCAAAGAATCGGGCTGTCCACTGCGGTCTACGGCCCATGCGCAGGGTATCATGGCGCACGCTAGAGCAATCACGATGCCAAGGGCGAGCGCCCTTCCAATCTGCAACCGGCGCCGATTCGAAGCCATTCCGTCAGGCGGAGCGCGCAGGGGCTTCGTTCGATGGATGCGCCTCTGGGGCGGTGGGATTGTTGGCCCACAGTGCGAGGCACGCCATGCCGCGGACAGCGCAGCGGTGCCCTCCGGAACCTCCCGTGTTGGAAAGATCGGAAGGGGGGATGACAGAGTCGCGCGCATCTGGGCGCCCGGAGCTTCCACACTCCAACGATTGCCGCACGGTTTGTGCACTGGTTGGCAGCTCGCCGTCGCTGGGTTTCCTGTAAAGTACCGAGAATGGGCAACTGCGATGCGCTGCTTCCTGGGTTCTTGCTAATCGATGCTGCTGCCGTTCAAATATATCTTTTGCCCATTCGACAGCAACCTGTTGTCATTTCCCGCATCAACGTTCACGATCATCCCCCGGCCTTAATGGCCAGAGGGCTCGCCGTCCACTCGTGATGATCGCTTCCGGCGACTTTTGGGAAATGTCCACACCCCTTCGAATTTAAATTCTGGGCCATTGGGTGCCTTCTTGAAGACGCAAATGCCAGTGCCAATTGTGCAAAATGCCACACATCGTGTTCTGTTTGAAAGCGGATGTGACCTAGATATGTGTTATTTGTGCCGAGCGCTCTCCATGTAGATCGCAGTTGCTCAGATGCTTCTCCTCATATTCTGTTCTTTTGGGAAGCTGCGTTTTTCCGCGATCTTAAAAGACAGCCCACTGTGTTCCATTCCTATTTCCTTTTCCTTGCGGACAATAACTAATCGACTGATCGTCTCGCTCCACAATGCTCATATGTAGTTTGCTCCTGCGGTGTTTGGCCACACTGCTCTGGGCGAATATACTGCACCCCCAAAAGGTTAGAGATCCAACACACGTACTGCAGTTTGCGGCGCATACAATTATACCGGTCGTGAACACTGATCAATGGTTCATTGATCAGTGAATTGATCACACTGATCAGTGACTTCCTGAAATTACAACTGGTGCGCACACGGTGCTTAATGATGGATCCTGATGTTAATCATGTTGGTGATTGATTTTTTGGGGGGGTTCTATGTAGTATGCCGTTACAGACATGTGTATACACTCACACATCCTTCCCTGCACGTACACATCTGCACAATGCAAAATGCAGACTACATTTCACATGTTTATTCTTCCTTTCTACGAAAGAAAACGTAAGGACGTGCCGAGGCTTGCTGATATCATCCCACTATGCACCATGGCGATACCCGGCATTACACTCTGCAGTGCATATTGAAAAGAGCCACACCAGCTGATGTTTCTGCTCAGGAAAGTTAGTGCACTGGAATAGAATATTTGAATTGCACATGCCTGTCATGATGAGCAAAATTTTTGGTACAATGCCTGGCGATACATTGCCTAAAATCTGACACGGAATCATATAGGAAGTAAAATCATACAGTCCAGTTGACTGGGTACAGTTAATGTTGGGTAGTACAACCCAGCGCTAGGTACCCGGCACGGTTGATGCGATTGAAATCGCAGCGCCCAAGGCAAACTGTGACGCCTAGCAGCAGACACCTGAAGACAAGGCACACACGGTGTGCTGCACATTTTATGAGGCTGCGAATCGGTGTTTGGGAGCTTCATGCTGGCGTGGGACATCAGCGCTGCGACGCCGAGAGGAATCATACTCCTTCGGACAATGCCTCGCCTGCACTTTCGCCCGCGCATCGATTGCTGCACAGCACATGTACATGGCTTGCAACTATCAATGTGCAGGTGTTGGCACAAAAGAGCAATGCTGCATGCTCTATGCCTAAAGTTGGAAGTTCGGGGCCGAGGTTTTGGATGCACATGTAACAACTCCAAGTAATGTGGCCTCTACAGTTATTAGCAAACACCTCATGGCAACAAGTGTGTGAGGGCACCCATTTAGTGCTGTGGTGCTGCTGTTGAAAGCGTAACCTCTTCTGATATTTAGCTGCTTAGATGGACCAAAACCATGCTGCACTACTATGACCAGGCTTGGTTTTTGCGTTTACGTTTACGTTTTTACTTTTATGCCTTTACCTGTAAAAACGTAAATTTGGAAAAGGGCCTATTTTTCCGGCTATTTTTATGTTTTTACGGCTCCCTGGGACACTCAGGTTACACGATGAAAGTTGCGTACAATGATAAGTTGTGCACCATCTTCAGTAGGCTTGGTTTTTACGTTTACGTTTACGTTTTTACTTTCACGTCTTTACGCGTAAAAACGTAAATTTGCAAAAGGGCCTATTTTTGCAGCTATTTTTACGTTTTCGCGGCTCCCTGGGATGCCCAGATTACACGATGAAAATTGCGTACAATGATCAGTCCTCCGCCATATCCAGCACCCGCAACACAATGTCCACTGCGCCCTTGGCAAGGGCGATGATGGTGTTTAACAAAAACTCGTTTTCTGGCCCTTCCAGGGCGTCTGGCTGCCATTCTTTGGACTCCGCAAGTCTGTATGTACTGTCCTTATGTACACCGGGCAGTTTTTACGTTGTATTGACGTATTTTTTTCGCATTTTTACGCGTAAAAACGTAGAAACTGTTTTTACGCGTAAAAACGTAGAAACTGTTTTTACGCGTAAAAACATAAATACGATCAGTTTTTACGGCGTAAAAACCAAGCCTGACTATGACCCCCAAAAACATATTGCTAAAAAGAAAATACAGTTTCAGCCCCAAGAATGCAGCGCTAGTTAAAAACTTGTTTGTGTCGCTGGATGGCTTGGCGATGTTAGAGCTGATCAGTTCCCGTGGGTGGCCCTACTCGAAATAACATAATTGCCTGCACCAAATCGGTGACTGCTGGCACCAAAAGTCACGAGCACACTGTGTCCCAACCGCAGTTTTAGGTCTATTTTTAGGGTTAGGATTAGCGTTGGGGTAGGTTTAGGGTTAGGTTTTAGGTTTCAGGGGTTAGGGTTTAGGTTGGGTTTGTTTTGGAGGGATTTGGTGCAGGAAGTCACCGATTTGGTGCAGCCAGTAATTGCGTGCCTCCCCACTCATTGGTGCCACTCTCCCCTCGCGCACGGACCACTGGGACGCATGAGCGTATTCGTTTCCAATGGCAGGCTTGAGCCACAAAACTTCCCCGGCCCAGCGGACATGCTCCGTGGCAAACCGCCGGGAGCGTACACGGCATTGAAGGTGGACAACTGGCGGCACCTAGTGGACTGGACACTGCACTCGCGCCGATTGGCAAAGTGAGGGCAGGATCTGATGCTGCGTACGCTCCCTGACATCCGTGAGGCAAAGGCAGATGTGAATGTTGCCATTCTGTTCTTCAAAAAGCGACGAAACGCACCAATTGCACCTCCAAGGTGATGTCGAGCAAGTGACTCCGAATTGTCCACGACACAAGTGCGATCTTTCCGGATGAACTAGGTTCCCATGTGGCGGCATCGCCTGAAATCACCTTGTTGACGGAAGTGCAGCACTCTTTCATATGCTCTGGACAAACGAGATTGAGTGGGACATCAAAAAAACGGCGATGATGAACTTTGGCAATGGCCCATATGTTTGAACGTTGGTGCTCTGCCAGGTCTGTTCAGGTCCTGCATGAAGAAGCAGGCGGAATGTACAAGGCGCTTTTGAGCCAGGTGGAGACACAGGTATTGAGCAGCACAACGACATGTTTCCGTTTACCATGGCTGAGGAAGAGTTGCCTCCGGATGTTGCGTCTTTCACGCGACAGTGTGTATTTGCAGAACGTTCCAAAGATTGGAAATCACAAAACAGATGCCCATTGGTTTCTGGAAATTCCACTCATATGTGGCATTGGATCAGCCTATTGCTCCATGCCGTAAGGACGACTGAATCTGTTGAACGTAGATGCTATTGAGATAATGAATCAAATCTGTGGTTGTGATGATCACGCTTCATGGCAGTTTGCTTGCTGGTACGGACAGATTTCCATTTCCAATTCCAGCATTTCGATGCTGCCAATGTGCATGATGGCCATCAGTGTCCATAGTTGCTGACAATATCTGCAAGGACCTTTGGCATGCGATGACCACACATTCCTGCGCAACCCTCCAACAAAATGAAGCTATTGCTGCTTACGCATCTGAGAATGGGAATCCCAGTCGATTGCTTTAACTGCACTACCATGTGGCGCTGCTGCCCCACTGTGCCCGGCATTTGTCTATGGGCAGTCTGGTCATTGTTGGTGTTTGCTGTTAGCCCCAAAAGAACCGAATAAAAAATTGAACGCAGATGAGCTGTAAGTCGTTGGAATGTTGGATGCCACATGCGCTGTTTCTGTTGATAGGCGATGTCAAGACCATTGCAGTTTCCCTTTTTTTTGGCGTCACTGTTGATAGTCAACATTGAACTGTGGCAAACTATTTTCTGTTGTGTCTGCAGCACTTCAGACATCACAACCTTGACTGTTGGGCACATCATGTTGACTAATTGACAGCATGGAATGAGACAAATGACAAACCTAAAACCTTGTTATTGTGGCAAAGGGGACAACGTTGAACCGCTGCATCAACCATGCTCTTCTGCCGTCTCTTGTGCTGGCCCTGCAGACTTGCCAGGAGGCCAATGAACAGAAAGTAGGAGCTGCTGCATGGGGTGCTAACCACCAGTACATAAGGCTGTTTGGTCGCCAGAAAGCATGTCAGCACTTTGAAAACAAACACATGTGGAGGTCAACAGCACTGTCAATCGTCTGTGTGCGCAAAGGGAGCATTTAGTCATGCATTGGCAATTGTGTTAAATGCATTAAGGTGAGCTACATTGCTGCCAGCATTTTCACTGCCTTGTTATAGGAGGTTGCTTGCATGTATGTCATTTGCTGATCACCCTTCCCGTTAAAAGGCACAACACCCAAGAACATCTGGGAATGGCCACTCCACATGTAGAAGAAATCCATATTAGCACTTCAACTGCACTCAATGAACACCTTGACGAACATTCTGGTGTGACATACATGCAGGAGATATGTTTCAAACAAACTGTGCTGTCTGTGCAACCCTTATTGTTTGGGAACGAACAAATGTAGATGACAACAGGGGCTGGAATCGTCCAAGTGGTGCAATTGTAGTAGTTCACCACGATGTTTGACAAACATATTCAGTGTGCGTTATGCCATGATTGTTTTGTGCTCTGTCTGTTGCTTGTCTCCTAACATGCGTATGGCATGACTGTTGTGCCAGACCAGCTACTGCATGCTCGTGCCGTTGCTCTGCGATCCGATAGGGACTTCGACGCAGACAGGTACGAAGATATATTTCCCAGATACTCCTGCAATGTGAAATTTGCGAAGTAGCCATTACCATGGATGCAATCTCTCTTGGCAAAAGATGTTGTTCAAGTCACCATCGACATCCTGGCTTGCAGTAGAGTCCTTGTGGCTCCACTTGGTGGAGATGACAAAGGAAACATCGTGCATCAAACCCACGGACCGTGGGCCACTACATTGTCGCACATTACACTGACAGTCCCTATGTCTTCTGTTTTCAGGATCGCCATTGGATGTTTTTGTGCTTGCTGAACCACTCTCAGTGGAAGCCTCCCACCCTGTGGAAGTAAGATTTGTCGTGCAGGCAGTTGTCTGTTTTTGCCAGTCCTGTTGAGCTTGCACTTACTTTCCACAGCAAATTTCAAGTTTAAATTCACAAATATTTCTTTTCTGTTTGCCCACATTGCATCATATCCTCAGTCCCATGCTTTTGACAGTTTGAAACTGGTTGCTCCGATGCTGCACGGAGGGGATCAAGAGTAGAGTCATCCATTGTATCCAAAAACCGAAACGACAATCAGAGCAATGTCGAGACTCTTTACAGCACTTTTCCTGGCTCTGTGCTGGATGTGGCTTCCTGGTTTGATCGTGTTGGAAAACTGGCTGTGTGGAAGTGTGCAGGTGTCTGTACTGGGGCGTCCCAGGACAATACCTCTTGCCAAGTTTTCACAATGGGCCACTGACCGGCAGTGTATTGAGGCAAAGAAGGCCAAATCTGATGGAGAGGTGCGTAATCTATTGACCAACAGCCGTGCTCAAGATTAGCCTGTGTGCGCCATGGATGCAAAGGACGATGCAAACACAAGAGGGCACATTCTCTCACTCATTTCTTCCCCCTATCGATGGAAGTTCACGAATCCAACAATTTTGACTGTTGAAATTGCTGGGAATTGAAGCTTTATATTCAATTTTCGTGCATGGAATTTCTTGCCTGAGAGTGCATTCTATCGCCCATTAAGGAAAGGAAAGGTGGTGGTACGACATTGCTCTGTTGTCAGGCCCTTCTTTGCACACAAGATGGAAATCTGCTTGAGGGTCTCCTCACCAACTTTTTTGTCGTTCAAGGCAAGTGCCTCCATGAAGAACCCGCGACAATTATGCTCCACCTTTCCCTAAATACGTTTGGAGTTTCCTGTGTACAATTCTATTTCTGTGTATCTGCCGCTGTCCAGATGCTGCAAATGCAATCTGCTTCCAAAAAGATGCCATGGTGTTTATGGTTATGCCACTGCCTGCTGGCGGGTTGTTGTTATTCACTGCTAAGTTGGTGTGGCATGTTGGTTCTTGGGTGCCACCCCTTTCTTGTGCAGAGAGGAGTGAGTTCTTGGGGTCATGTACTACTTAGTTGTAGTCATATGGCATTTCCATATGACAATGGCATCTGACTACGTTTGAAACCGGAATGAGATGAATAAAATCCATGAGAAACTGATGTTGATGATAGAGAATATGTTGAACTGCTCCCGCTCCCACCCAGAACCGATACACTCTCAATTTGCACCCCTGGAGAATGATGCTGCTGAGTATGAATCTGGTTGTGTGTCGGTTCCCTGCAACAATATTCCAGAAGCCATATCGCCAATCTGTTGGAAATTATCTCAAGAAATCGATTGGTAAACAGAATTGAAGGATGGGTGATATTGCCTGTTGCTGGAGCATGGTCTGAGATAATCTGCAAGGGTGAGAGGCGTCAATTCATTGCTGCTACTTCTAAGATCTATCAGTCGGTCTGATGTTTCTTACTGTTGTGCATGAGGCTCATGTACTGCTGATTGTGGTTTCTCTCGGATATGCACATGTGTGCTTTCAGTCGCCTTAAAGTCTAGGTGTCCATTCCGTGTTCAGTTCCCAACCATTATCACATAATGTCTATGCTGCACGTATGATTTGTGTAACACATTGCAATATGACACTGAAATGCTTTTCTGTGGTAAGGGGATTCGATGGGTATTAGCTTCCTGGCATCCAAGGGAGGCCCACTCGTTTGGCAATTGGATGGCAAGTACCACATGCTGCTTCAAGTGCAAATTTTACGATTCATACAGTTGCTGTACACTGAATCTACAGCTGCGGTTGGAAATGGTAGACTTGTCAAAAATTCACAATGAATGATGCCTTGCGAAGAACTGAATGGCTAATTCAATCAATCAGTTCTGATAAGCGAAGGAAGCGGGTTTGAAGCCACCTCCACCGTTCCAAGCCACGCTTTTGCTTGGCTTGTGATGGCCATAAACAGGGAACACCACTGTACCACTTTGGGCACTGCGGAGCCCCTCAGCTAGTGATTGTGTGAGTGCATGAGCTCCATTGTCCCCAAATTGGAACTTCAGCAATCAGATCACGAGCACATGCTGCAGCGTCGCAGGCGTTTGTGGCAGTCAGAACTCGAGATAGAAGGCAATACCCGGAGCAGTTATCTATCACCAACAGGTAGCCAAAGCACAGCTTGCTTCATTCCCCGGCAATCCTCAATGTGATAAGCTTGGGAGGTGCCGGTGCTCTTGTCCAATTAGTCATATGTGTCTTGCCATGTAAGGAGAGGGTTCGCTGCTCACAATGTACCTGTTTGTGGCAGTTTGCGTGGGGTGCAGCCGGTTTCGAGGATCTACTGCACAGGAGGTAATGATGCTTTGTTGTGCTGCGTCGAATTCGCAAGTTGAGTTTTTGTGATTAGGTTTCCGCACATCATATGACAATATACCTTGCAATTTTAAAGCAACGATGGACACCTTCGACAACCTCGGGATGTTGAACCCAAAGCTACATGATAGTGAACTTGCAAACTCCACTCTTCGTGCCTGAATGGACCCATTGGCAAGGTGCCGACTTCCAAGATATGATTGATCATTGTGTGTCTGCTTGCATGCCAGATGATGTGTGGAAGCAATCTCCTTGGGAATGTATTCTTAAGCATCCTGTGGGTCCAGTGGTTCTGGAGCTTCGAAGGAAATTGCGGGAGCATTCTGAGAGGGTAGATGTGCACGCTTTGATGTTGACATAAAAGTTTTCAATTCCGACGGGAGTTCACATTGAGCGGCTTCTGTTCCCACCAGCGCTATTTCAGCGAGAGCCTTTTTCAGCGTCAGCCGTGCATGCGAAAACGAGAAGCTGGTATTAGACTGGAGATGGAAAACGCAAGCTCCGATGTTTGCTGGAGCGTAAATTGGCGCTTTTGAAGCACGCAAGTATTGTGGGGGCACAACACCGAATGCAACACAAAGATTCTATCCATCGGCTGTTCAGAACGCAGAAAACACCCAATGGTCTGTTTGTGCCGTGTCGTTCAAGGGAATACAAGTTCCTCCCACTGCACAGCAAGATGTTTTTGAGCCACCGTACTCATCACTCTGTGCTTATGTCATACCCTTGCAAGAATTGTGTCGGCCTTGGCTCAAATTGCGTTGGCATCACGCTTCCCGGGCACCAAAGTGCGATGGAGACATTTTTAGTAGCCAAAGTCACATTGGAATGCTTGAGTAGGGGTTGGTGGTGGACTACTGGTGGTGGTGGTATGGTGTGGTGTGGTGTGGGGGCGCCCACATGGGAGCGCTGGGTCAGGGCGTGTCGGGCAGGCAGGCAATGGGTGCCCTACACCTCCCCCATTCCACGCCATGGAGAGCACAGCATCCACTAACAATGAACGAATGATATAGGCATTCAAAGATTAATCGAGATGCCATCGGCTGTATGGTGACAAGAACTGCTATTCGTTCATTTTATAACAGAAACTTGATAGAAGGCCTATTTAAAGTCCAATTAGCTTCAAAGGTAGTGTTGCCAGGACTGATCCACGGCCAAGTCTCTGCAGGATTTCACCAATTGTGGAACGCATTCCAAACAACAATGGGGCAGTTATTGGAGGCGTATTGAACACAAGAAATGCAAGAGATAGTGAAAGGACAAAAATTTAGCAAGAATGGACAACTCGATGGGTAAGAAAAGCAGGGCCAAATGATGGCTAGCACGGTCAATAGGATGGGTCACTCCGAGTACAGTATTACGAGGAGGGCTGTGCTATGTATCTATTAATAGATAAAGTGAAATAAAGTGCCAAGTTCTTCAAGAAATTCCAGATCTACTGGGCGGCGAGCCATTAGGAAGACATATCTGGAGTATATGGGTTTGAAAAGGTTTCAATAATAATTGCAGGAGAGAAGCGCAGATTGCCAATTCTGGAACTTGTGAATGGCAACGTGGAATTTCGGGATGAACTAGTTAGAAAACAGTGATTCTCTTGGGTTTCACTACAGTTTACAAGTTCTTGTGTATGGAATTTGCAGGCTATGTTTGCAGCGGTTTGATTACTCTGGGTTTCAAGAAACTCTGATTTGCAATGAATAGCAACTCGGTGGTTCGGTGGATTGCAGCAGTGCCTTTGCTCCTCCTTGACCAGATCGTGCCATCGCTTCCCTCAGGCGAATACAGGGCTCATGCCTGGCATAAAATTACTCCCTG